AACACGGCAGGAACAACTGAGCAGCATCCAGGTCGTCCGGGTCCATCTGAGAGGCAAAAAGGGCTGTCAAGAGGAGCATCGAAATGGATCCCAGATTAACGACTGCAGAAGTGGCCAAATTTGGTAGGATGAGCTCGAAATCTGTTCAACGGATTCTCCACACATTGGGTTATCATTGCAGAGCAGCTAGACGAAGCCCTTATTAAGACCTGCCAACACAGTCAGACGAAAGAAGTGGGCAAGTGATATGATGACCAAGCCTCTGCACTTTTGGAAGACCGTATGGTTCTCAGACGAATCAACATTCGCCCAATTTTCGGACAGTGGAAGGATATGGGTCTGGAGAATGCCTCACCAAGAGTTTTGACTCAACAGATTGCAGCCAACTGTGAAGCATGATGGTTTCAGCATGATGGTTCGGGGAACTGTTTGGGTTGGTGGGAGATCGAGCTTAGTGGAGTGTGTTGGCAACATGAATTTTGCAAAATACGTTGAAATATTGGAGGAAGGACTCTTGCCACTTTATTCCTCAGGTTTCATGGACAAGAACACAACGTTGTTCCAGGAAGATGGAGCACCATGTCACACTGCTAGAAACACCCAAAAGTGGCAGGAAGAAAATGGTATCCAGAAGTTGCCCTGGCCGAGCCAATCTCCTGACATGAACCTCATCGAAAACCTCTGGGCCATTCTCGACTAGCAAGTCAAGAAACAACCAAAAAAACCAACTTCGAAGAGCGATCTACTCCAAGTTTTGAAGCAAGAGTGGGCGAAAATCCCACAATCTAAAATTGACGAGATGATTCTCATGATGCCCCAAAGGAGCAACGAACTGCACGAAGCGAAAGGAAGATCTACTAGATATTAATTAAATTATAAATATATCAATTCATGTGAATATGACTGAAAAATTTCATTTTTTCTGAAAAGGTGGTGTCTATTTAGTTGTGACCACGTTGTGTATACGTATATATATAATGACAGTAATAAAAACCTATATTAAATATAATAAACAAGCTTTAGCTTTCCCAAAGGAAAAAATTAATATACTAAATGCTTGATTTTTGAACTTCCTACACCAAAATTTCTATTACTCATTCTGAAAGTTAATTTTAACAGATTAAAACATATTTTTCAATACTTCATTACAACATACTAAAGCCATTCTAAGTTTATATTCACTATTTATTATTGTATTAAAGTAGTCCTCACATTTTTATAATGAGTATAAAAAGTGCCTTTAAAGTTTTTTCTTAAAATTTCTGTGATGTACCATCAAATGATGTACATTACCTTGAAAAAAATAACCACAATTTCACCATTCATTTGGAACTTAATAATCTTTAAACAGTTTCAAAGTTTTCTAATAACTTAATTGAAACTTTAAATATAAAACTGTAATATTTGCAGAAGTACTTTAATTCACTGTTTCACAGAATTTCTTATGCACACTGTGAGGTGGTATTTTAGTTCATTAACATGGTAAAAAAACAACATTGGCTTAACATTCTGCAGGAAAAACTGCAGTTAAAAGTTGAAGAGAACTTATATATTGAGAAAACTCTTATTTAATGGTTCAATTCACTTTTATAAGTTAAGGTAATCTTATATTTTAAAACTTAAAATGACTAACAATGCTTATTTGCATATAGTTCACACAGCTCATGGAAGTTAAATTTAGTGGTGATACTGCACTAAAGAAATATTATATATATATATGTATTGCAATTGAAAAAATACTAAATTCATCCTGATAAAACATACAATGGTGTATGTATTACACAGGTTACAGAAACAGCACAAGCTAGTTTGACCTGAAAATTTTAATCATGAACTGCTGGCTTTCTAGTTTAGTTTTTGATAAGCCTAGTTAAAAATAAGGAAAACTTTGAATATGATGAAAATTAAAATACTCTGAAGGTTGATAAAACTGCCGACTGTGCTCTAACTTTAGGAAATTAAATCACTGCACACAAATATGTTATTCAGGAAGTAACTAAACTGTGTACTGGTTTTTTTTCACATTGTTAAATGTCTGTTAAACTCAATGTTCATTAACATTAAAATCTTAGAACATTTACAAAAGAAAAATTGCTATTTTACTTTTTTGGTAAAAACTCTTCATTAAATAGATGGATTTCTAGTAGGATTTAACCCTGTTCCTAATTCATATATTCATGGCTCAATTAGGGTCTAGCAATTCTGTACAAATTATTACTTTTATTAAAGATAACACACGGTAGACTTTAAAAGAAGCCTAGTTTAGCATCCTTTCAGATGTAAAGACAAAATCTGTCAATCTTTTCAATGTTCTTGTTTTTAACAATGTTAAGACTGAGTTGGCTCATTTGATTTGAAAGTCAGGAGCTTAATTATTTGCATGAATTAACTCTGTGTTAATATTTTTTGTTCTCATTTATCAAGTCATTAGTCTAAATAAATATTTTCAGCTTACAACTTAATTCAAGTCCATTGTAATTATCTTAGTTAACTATTTCTTTTGGAAGCAATGTTTGTTTGTTATTAAGCACAAATCTCCATAATGGGTTATATGTGCTGTGCCCACCACAGGTATTAAAATCTCATTTTTAGCATTATAAGCCTTCAGACTTACAACTGAGCCACGAGAGGAAAGAGTTTTATGATATCATAAATGTGCAGGATCTTAAAAGGCTTTCATTATCTCCTAAAAATAATTTAAAGTAACAATAAAAATTACTAACATGTGAGACTGCTCTAAATTAAATAAAATTAAGCCCGCTAACTCAAACGTATAATGTAGTTTTACTAGCTTTCTTTAATTTCTGTAGTTATTTTTCTATTTTGTTTTCATCCTACTTCTGTTGTTCAACATGCACTGTTAAATATCTGGACGTATATTTTAGGTTTTAAAGAAATTTATAACCAGCAATTAAACAGTAAAATATTGGTAAATTCAAATTATACTTTTCTACTGACAGAAAAATGTGATTCCTTAAGAAGTATTAAATGCAGTAAGTACATATTTATAGAGGTAGACATTTACAAATTGAAATAAGCCTACAATTTCAGGAGAAGTGGTATCTGACTTTTGTTGATTTAAATCCAGTTTCACTTTAGCAATCACAAAATTCTCCTTCAGACCCATAAAGACATGCTGTACAATACTCAAGGATGAACCAGGAGCACTCTTTTATACCAATAGACAACAATCTAAAAATGGAACCTACACATTCCTTTGCACAGCAAGCACAAGGAAAATTGACAAACTTCTTATTCTTAGGAATGACAGTTCTGAAATGAAAGTTTTCTGTTCTCACAACAGATTGAATTATGTGTGGAAAAACTTTGATGAGGATCAAACTTATCTTCTTAATATATTACAGTTATTAGCCTATCACTGTTGTTTTTTGGCACATAAACTTTAAACTTTTAAGTGCAGACAGTTTGTTTTAGATGTAAGTGATATTACTTTGAATAAAGTTATTATATTATTATATATATAAAAAAACCTTCAATATACGTTCATTTACATCAGGAAGTACTTGTATTAAAACATTTCAAACATGATGAATTTAACAGTTATTTCATTGCTAGTAATACCAACTTCTAAAGTATTAAAGTTTTATGTGCCTTCCTAAAAAAATAATAGTAATGTGATCTAGGGCATCAATCACAATATCTTAAACAAAACGTCTGTTTCAATCCTTAGAGAATATATTCACAAAGTAGACACATGTTTAAATCTGATCTTTATGTAGGACAAAAGTCATAAAATCCTAAACAAAAATCTCATTCCAATCCTAGGACAGTATTAAAGATGGATGATTAGTGGTATTTGATAACTAATTAATCAATGAGACTTGGATAACTATAATCATCAAAAATAGTAAAATTGGAAAAACTGATATCAATTAATTGATTATTTCATGAATTTTGACATGAATTGATTAAACCTCTCAAACTCACGACTCTCAGACTGCAAGTCAAGCACCTGAACTATCAGGCCATGGTCCAGCAGCTCCAAAAAACTGACTAAAGAAATACAAAGTATAATTAGATCAGAAGTATAATATCCACACTTTCAATTAACATCTGCTGCCATGCGTTTATAATAGCAAAGTTATGCTTGACAAAAGAAATGAACTTTGGTGAATGTCAATTTTGAATTATCATTTAAATGCTACAAAGTTACTTATTATCAATTACACTTGTGTCTGCATTCTTTGGGTATTCCATTATTGGATGCAACCACATCAGCCAGTGCTTTGTGAAAAGAGATCAGGTATCAATTCTTTCTTCTCTTGCTCAAGGCTGGCATGTATTTTCAGTCCCGTATTTAATGGGACAATTCTTTTTACATGTACTGTATGCAAAATATCTTATTCTAGAAATTCCTAAGCAAAACCACAAGTAATAAGGTTGTTTTTTTTTATCACATTGTTTTACCTTAATATTATACATTATGAAACTTTACAGCTTTACAACAGGATCTCAATGTTCTAAGCTAATCTGGTGAAGTACTTTTGTTTCAGTTCACTTCTTCCCTCATTATATCATTTCATGGAGAAGTTTACCTCATTAAAATAGTCTCCAACCCATTTGGCCACCATAAGGACTATCATCAGTGGAAGACCAAAAGTAATATTTCCTGTTGCTTCAATCAGAATAACCGTCAAACTGATTGTCATTCGTACCACACCACCCAGCATGGATGCTGCTCCAATCAAAGCAAACTTTCCTGGACAAACCCAGTCCTAATAAATACAAATATACATGATATTTTCATCTTTTAAAATATTGGACAGTTATTGGCCAGTCACACTATTTGATATTTGTCTGTAAAATTATGAAAAACAAATTGCACTGAACTAGACAAATGGGTGTAAATTGAAAATTATGTATAGAAAAAGATTCTATATAAGTTTCAAAACAAAACAGCTTTTACTTGTTTTTCACTAGACTTGTATCACTTAGATAAAATGAAAAAATACAGTTTAACCACTATAATATAATATATCAATAACAAATACATTAAACTCATACATACAATAATTTTACCAAAGTTACAATCATTAAAATTCAAGTCCTAATCATTACCCTCAATAATAAATTTTCACGAATTCGATGCTGAGGAACCCACTTTGAGATTAATAATGGCTGGAGATGGCTCGAATGGGTAATGAAGAAAAACTTTAATATAAGTTTAACATAACAGCAAATGTACAACGTTTCTTGTACCTCATGATGACAAAACCTTGTCAAAACGTTGTAC